AGTGAGCTCTCACACTGGGCTAGCGGCCACTGTACACTGGGTACACTGGGCTAGCGGCCACATCCCATCTAAAGGTAAAGGATTACATTCATGAGATGTATAGATCTCAAAATCAGAAGATGGTGTAGGAGATTTGATGCATTTCTGATGGCAGCAACTTCAAAGCCAGAGAGAGGCAGGAGAACTCCCTAACACCTTTTTATGTCACCAAGGTATATAAGCACTGAGGCAACAGCAAATTTTAAACTACCTTTTTTTTTTTTACATTAACATGTGGAACAAAGTCACCAAGAGCCCTTCTAGCTTTCTTTTAAAAAAAGAGAGCTCACCAAATAGAAAGGAATTAACATCTCAAAAGCAACCCACCTGTTGGACAGATTCCATAGTAGGCATGTCTGTAAGCTGTATGTAAAGAATGTTTATTCTTCCTACTTTTATTTAGTTTATTTATTTAGTTATTTATCTAACTTTCTGGTCCTATGGCTGAGTACCTCTAAGCATGTACAAAATTCTTTCTGCCCGATAGGAAAATGAAGTAGACCTACCACCTTTTTTTTTTTTTTGCACAATATGGCAGACAAGCTTCAACAACAAAATCCATTATGCTACAAACACAAGGCTTATGCCATATCAAGCAATATACACTAGAAGGCAAAAATGGCACTGCTGGATTGCAGTTAGAGTAAAACTACTCTAACTCTGCAGTTTTCAATCTGATAGGTGGCTAAAAGAATAAGATGAGAGTCGGGAATGTCAGCTATGGGTTGCACAAGCTTGCTTCCTGCTGACCATAGCTGAATGTCTGCAACAGATGCTAGACTACCTCAACATGAAACATAGGAAGGGGAATGGCACAAGACGGTCACAGTTGCCAAGCAAAAGCAAGGCAGAATCTTGACCTAAGCATGGAACTCTTGAGTTGTTGGCTAAAGTGATCCGTTGCTCTACGCTAGGGGGTGTCCAACTTTAAGACCTGCGGGCTTCAACTCCCAGAATTCCTCAGCCAGTCATGGATCGTGGGGTGCTCTGGATTGCCAAACTCCCTCTCCCTCTCTCTCCTCCTCCTCCTCCTCCCTCTCCCATGTGTGTGTGAGTTTGTGTGTAAGCGGCTGACTTTTAGACTGCATTCTCTGACCCACTTTAGATTCTCAGAATATTCAAAAACACGTAGCCCTGGATGTAGCCCCTCCAGAAAGGGTACAATTAAATTCTACTTCTGTGTAGCAGGAAGACTTGTTGGAAAACAGGGGTGCCTGCTTTCAAACCATATGACACCCATCCTCACCTGGCTCCATCAAAGCAGGCAGAAAAAAAAGTCCTTCCCACCACATACCCACACATTAATTTGAATTTTTACCCTCTGCAAGACAAAGAAATCAAAGAAAACATGAGCCACAAAAAAGCAACAATTTATTTTTTAAAAAACAATTGTACAAATATCAAAGGGTACAATACAGCTAAGTAATTCTGGGCAGGGGGAGAAGACCAAGGGAGGAGTTGGGGTGAAGTGAGGATTCACCCCAATGGAAAAATAAGTGTCAGTGCTGTAACAACATTGCCAGCCACCTCCTCTGCACCACAGCCAAACCAGGCCTGGATGGCTTCTGTTCCACAATAGAAACAGCTGCATTTTATCAGCTGTCAATCACTGATCCTCAGCCTCAAAGTGAGACTCTTAGCTTGATAAATCAATGCTAGAAATAAATTGGGTGCATTATTAATTAAGCATTATACATTCCAGTAAACAGTAAAGAATGAGTATAATTTTTCTTTTTGAGTAGGTAATCACTGACAATATAGCTGGGCCAAGCAAATACCATTCAGTGTTCCAAAGTAGCATCTTATTTGACATTTTCCATCATAGCAATGCATAATTCACAATAACAATGCAGATTATTCGTCCCCACAGTAACAAGCCAATATTCTCTATCGTAGTAATTGCCAAAAGTAATCTGGACTGAAAATAGTATGGGGGAAAAAAAGCCAGCAATTTTTTTTCAAAAGAAACTCTCTTAAGATTCTTAAGTTACAATTCTTATTCCTGGAAGAGAAACCATACTGATGAGCTACAGATACAAATTGGAAGGCCTCAAAACTCTGTGTGGTGCATGCTTAGAATCAATGTTATTGTTAGTTAGAGCAAGGATGAGGAAACAGTGGCGTTTCCCAAATCTTGTTGGACCATGTTGATTAAAGGCTGTTCAGTCAATATTCAACAAGATCTGAAGGATGACAGGTAAGAGAGAACAAATGCAAAGGCTAAAATAAAAGCACAGATGGAATTCAGTAGCTTCAACTGAAAAGGAGGTATATCTTCAGACAAACAATTATACGCTACTCTATTAATTAAGGACAGGTGGAAGACGCTGGAAATATCTCAATGAAAGCGATGTCTTTTTCTTTCCTAAGGTCAAATAAATACAGTGATAGCAGATCTCTATTTAAGCCTAGGTGGACCTCCTAATATGGCACAAGATTCTTTATACAGGGGGTAATAACTGCTTGGTTAAAGGAAGCAAAGGGTCATCCCAGAGCTTCTCCAATAATTTTTGTCCAACTGAGTTCAAAGTAAGTACAGGTTTTCCTCGACTTACAACAGTTCATTTAGTCACTGTTCAAAGATATGACACTGAAAAAAGTGATTTATGACCATTTTACAAACTTATGAACAGTGATGGGATTGGAATAATTTAACAACCAGTTCTCTGGCTGGGTAGGCACAGCCAGTTGGTCATGTGACTGGGCGGGTGACATCACTCATCACACTCAGCCGTGTCTCCCGGCCACTCGCCTCAAAGGCAGAGGAGGTAGGATTCAGCCAGTTGGAGCTAATCCCACCACTGGCTGGCCCCGCCCCCACCTGTTTTTCAGCCTGTTTTCAAAAAAAACAACCAGAAACAACAGAAAAACTTCCCAAAAATGGGGCATTTTGGGCCCGTTCTCAGGCCGCTTTGGGGGCGTTTGCCTAAAAACACCCCAAAACACCCCGATTGTGCTCGTAAATCAAGGACTATTAGTGTTCATCTGAGGCGTGGGTGATACGTTATTTCATCCCACCAGTATTCCTTTTTTCAATTAAGAATATCCTCTTCCTAATCTGCTTTAAACGTGATCCAGACTTTGAGCGGGTGGCCCTGCTGCTAGTGCCTCTAGTCTGGCTAACATGGTCTCCCTAGACATGCCCCAAATGAAATCGGGATCCTTTCATTCACTATGCACATGCTCCATCACTCATTTCTCAAACCAGCAAAGTTACAAATGCTGTAATCCACTTTATCGGCTATATAAGAGCACTATCATCATATTTTTGGCTGGGAGGCTATTAAAGGAAAGGGGCTCAAAAATAATGCACCCTCATTTTAAATATTCCAGACTGGCATAAAATAATGCATTGCTATCGATTAATATGGCTCCTCAAAGCCAAAGATGGATTGCTATATTGCAGAATACGCCCAGCTTTTAAATAATAAACTCCTAAAGTCATGGCAGGTAGCAATATCCTAGTAAACCTGTCTGATTGAATAAGAACCAAATAAACCTAAACAGGACTGGACTGAATGAGCAGCTGGCTAAGAGATGACATGAAAATCAAAGGATGTAAGATTAGGGTTGTTGTTTTTTAATCCTGGAAGAAAACGAAGAAAAATCACTTCTGCATTATTACAAAGAAAACTAGAAGCTTGATACAAAGGAATATGTAACTTGCATAGGATAGCACAAGAAATGTAGGCCGAGTGGCAGAGGTGGATTGCTTCTGAACCAAGTTCAGCTCTGCGATGATTGAATTCCCCTCCATGCTCAACACATCCATTTTGTTGGACTTTACTGATGGGGCCACACCCCAAAAGCACAGTAGCCACATTGAGGCAAATATTTGCAGCTCAAGGTTGCACTGTGGTATCCTTGGTACTTTCTGAGCTTGGTTGGTTTTTCTGTTTGCAAACATTTCATTATCCAATTATCCAGCTAGGTAACCCTGTCAATGCACCGATAACGTTACCTAGTTGGATAATTAGGCAATGAAACATCTGCAAGAAAACATCCACATTCGGACAGCATCAAAAACCCCACATTCAGACAGTGTTTAATCCAAGCTTACTTAGTACAGCAACAATAAAGGAGCATTTCTACAAATTTGTTCTTTTTTCTCCAGGATGTAGCAGGCAGTTGAGAAGACTGCAAGGTAATCTGGTCTATGTGGAATACACCTGCACTGTTTTCAGAAACGCTGCTGCTGCTTCAAACTCAGCAGTTAGCCAAGAGTAGCTAGCTGCAATTTTTAATTAAAAACAAAACAAAACCAAGAACTGAAGAGGAGGAGGGAGCATCTTCCCCTATCTTTTCCTCTTCTTTGTTCCTTTCCCAAAAACCCATGGATCAAAAAGTAGAAAGGAACGAGATGGGAACTGCTCGTCTCAAAAGAGTACAGTAATGCGGAAACATACAGAACCACAAATCTCATTCCTCCTACTTCTAGTTGGACCTTTTTTAGTGTTCTAGAACCCAGCTTAGTTTTTCTTCTGATAGGCAAAGGGGAATCACAGCAGCATTAAAAGTAATTATGAGGAGGCAGTTCCCACAGTTGCCATAATGCACCCCCTCCCTCTCGATTCACAATTTTGGCTCTGGGACAGAGCATTTGCTCTACATATAAAAAATTGAGCAGCTCTAGGCTTTAAGGAGCTATAGATGGAGTAGACAATACTGGGCTAACTCAACCGGTAGTCCATTAGCATAAGTAGTGTTAAGGAGCCACATCACTGCCAAAGGGCAAAGATTAGGCAGAACCTCAATCGGGAATATTGTTGCACAAAACTGCAACATGAATTACCTACTGTGAAGTATAGCAAGACACTGATAGCCAACTGAATAAAGGCATCTAAATAAGTGTTAGCACCGAGGACAATATATTCTGGCCTTCCTTTATATATATATATAAAAAATCTGGATAATCTTTAAATGATGAATTTACCTCAGGAGGGTAAACAAGAGTAGTGAAAGTAAAAGTGTAAAAAATATGTAGACCTGAGGCTAGACGATTCTTCTAATGAGTCCATAGAAGAATTAATGTTTCCGACGTGATCCAGAAATCATGAGAACCAAAGCAAAGACTCTTGGCTTTCTTCAACATGGAATTCCCAGTTAGTCCGCGATGAGAGCCATCAAGCCTAGTTCTTCCAGTTTTGCTTGGATGATGGCATCCCAGCCTTTGTTGGCTTTGGGGTTGCGAGGGGATGGGTGCATTACCCCCTCTACTCGTACTGGGATACCAGCGGCTGACAGAGCCTTGCGGGCGCGCTGTTCAGCAAAGCGTCCAACCCCAACGACTGTTGCAACGCCCAATAATTTCACAGCTTCACACAGGGCATCATCGCAGATCTGAAGGAGCTGTTCACGCCGAGCAGCTGGCAGGTCGGCTGGTGTCAGATTGCGCCCGCTTTGACTGACAAAGAGCAGTGGGCAGTGGTTGTGGACAAAGCAGTGTTGGAAGAACTTTTCAGGCTTGGTACACACAGAGCGGAAGAAGCCCCAGAAACGGGCTCCGCTCACCTCCATGTGGGGGCACTCCAAGCCACGGATGGGCCTCTTCGGGTGTTCGCATGCTGGCCGAAACACCTGTCCACTTATCTGCAGCCAATCTCGAACAAGCTGCACTGCTCCAAAGGGCACCTAGAGGAGAAATATGTTGTGAGAAAGGTTTCTCGGTGTGGGCCTGAGGTGGAGGTCTGCATTTGCTTCGAGACATCTGCAGTGGACATTTAACCCTTAAGTTGGGGGGGAAATCCTCCTCCTGAAAATGGAGGGGGGAAAAACACATTATAAACACATTTTCCTCTCAAAATATGCCACCCTTCAGTAGGGAGAGATTCCTCCATCAGGATGCCACTCTATTCTCCCTTGTTTAGCTCCTCAGTATCACTTCAGGAAATAGTTCGGGCAACTCACTTGCCAAGAAGGGATGCGTTAAAAGAGGTCTCTATAACAGCCCAGTGCAGATGAGAGACGGGCTAGAACTCCCTCTGGGTTGTTTTGAATTTCACAATGGGAAGGAAATAGGAAAATGTGAGTGAGTGAGTGAGTGAGTGAGTGAGTGAGGAAGGAAGGAAGGAAGGAAGGAAGGAAGGAAGGAAGGAAGGAAGGAAGGAAGGAAGGAAGGAAGATGGGGAAAGAGGATTAGGAGCCTGAAGCTCCAAGGCAGAGGAGTATTGAGGAATGTACTTTATCTATCCCATGCTTAAAAAACAGTTGTGATCTCACTAAATACAGTGTAGCTTAATAAGCACAATATCTCAGTTTTAACATGCTAAACAGGTTTGACTATCATTTCTCAACTTCCCACACCACGTTCTATTTTTCTTTATTCAACCCTTTTGGGTGCTGTTTCCCATTTAAACATCTCAAAGACGTTCCTGTGGGCGTTTTCTGGGTATTTCAACAGCCACCGTCCTAACCCATTTGTAGTTCACCAGTTTGGGTAAGGCTACCTTAGTCGGCCCCTTCATATCTAAATCAAAAGGCCTATCACCTCCTGTGAACGCCAGCGTATTATTCTTGCGTTTACATTTCTCAGTTTGGGTTTGTAAGGATGGCCTAGCACAAATAGAAAAGTGGAGAATGTCTAGTGCAGGGGTCCCCAACCACCGGTCCCTGGACCGGTACCGGTCCGTGGATCATTTTTTACCGGGCCGCAAAGCTTGGGCACCGCCATCTTGTTTTGACGGCGCTTCTGGGTTTTCGGTTGGAAAGTGCTTCCGGGTTTTCAGTTGGAAAGCGGCGTTTCGGTGCTCGCGCCTTAGTTTCGTCGAAGGGGGGGGCGGCTTCAAACGAAGAGCTGTCCCGATGGCGGTGGAGTCTCGCGTTACTCAGGTACCGGTCCGTGAAAGAATAAATAATCGTGAAACCGGTCCCTGGTTCAAAAAAGGTTGGGGGCCACTGGTCTAGTGGACTCTCCTATCTCATTCTTGAGCAGTTTGAAAAAACAGCAGCTACAGAGGTTTGTGGGAATTGATGAAATTGCTGAGGTCTGGCGAACGGCTCTGTTAGGCTGAGCAGCTCAGATTCCACAGAGCTAATTAAGGCTCCAGAATGGTGCTTGCTAAACCAAACTAGGAAGCCTTTTTTGGGAAACCCGATGCATCCAAGCTTGCGGAGGACATCTCCTATGTTGCAAAAGGACAGAGACACCCACCTAGGATCTCAGTTCTATAGTAAAAGTGCTTTTTTAAAATCCCACTTGCATTTTGTTGCACTTGGATGCAACAAGCTACGAACAATATTCATTTTTTTAAAGTTTATCATAAAATAATAAATAATAATGGAAAGACAGGAATCCTAGGCAAAGTTGAGAGAATGCCCTCGCCATGCCTCTCTGAAGCATTAGCAAATGGTTCCAAGTCCACCTCTTTGAGCCCCAAACTATTATTATGTCTCAGGAGAAGCTCCCAGGTCTCAATTAGCATGGAGACAATAGGCTTAATGTGTTATTGATGTGGTTGTACATTAATGTTTCTGCTCCCTCCGACTTTGATCCAGGGATAATGGTTTCACTGAAGCTCTTCTCTCAGGGCCCCATCATCCACAGGGAGCCTGGTGGGGACTGGCATAAGAGCCATTTTTCAGCGGAGTGCCCCACCTTTCAAAGTCCTCTTCCAGGAAGCCCCATTTAATGTCTACCATTAACCTTTCAGCATTAGCCAAAGTTCTCCTATGCCTTTACTGTCTTGCTCCCTTTTGGCTTAAATTTCCTCTATTGTTGTGAGGTTTGACTGGCTGTTTCACCGGAAGAACTATTTCTGTTCTTATATTTTAGGTTTTGCAGACTGCATGGAGAATGTGCTGTTGTTGAAAGTGGGCTGTGTACTTTTCTAAATGATCGTTAAAACCAAAATAGGAGCATACGGACCGGAGACATAGCATGCTTCTATGCCTACAATGCATGGAGCCTCCAGAGGTTCCTGTAATACAAGGCTCCTCATCTCCATAACCTTTCTCACATATAATTAAAGATGACATGTACTAGGATGCTAGCCAAGGAATATCTATACTCCAGCATTTATATTGGACTCATACCAATTTAGCTGTCATGATTTCCACTAAACAATGTGGGAATTCTAAGGAAGGCCTTAAGGTTTTATCATTGGCAGCTACAAGTAAGGTTGGGAATCTTCCCTGCCTGAACCCCTGGAAACAGCAGCCAATCAGCCTACAGCGTTGAATCTGTAGTTCAACCAAAGGTACCAACCTTGGGGGGGGGTGAGGCAACGGAACTCATTTCAGATTTTAATATAATCAAAGAAAGTGTCTCCTATGCGGACTTTTTCATTCATAAAATAACTAATGTGGCATCTGATTTGCCAAATGGATGGAGTTGCTCACTGCTACTCTTTCTCCAGCTTACCTTCTCCACAGACTTTGTCTATGAACTCCCAGTCTTTGTGCAAAGGTTAGGTGATGCACGTTTACAACAATCCAGCCAGCAATGAGTCTATGTGAAAACCATGGGCATTCTTATATAATATAAATCATTCTAGATTGTGTTTTCTCCTACGGAATGCTAAGTTCTTTTACTTTTTAAGAATTAAAATGAATCTTTAATCTAGAGAGCCAGTCTGGCGTAGTGGTTAAGGCATCAGGTTAGAAACTGGAAGACGGTGAGTTCTAGTCTTGTCTTAGGTAGAAAGCCAGCGGAGTATCCTTGGCTGCTCACTTTTTCTGAGCCCTGGGAAGGAGGCAAGGACAAACCACTTCTGAAAAACCTTTCTTAAGAAAATAACGGGGATTTTTCACGATAGCCTCCAAAAAAGAACACATTTAAAGGAAGGGGGGGGGACCCTTTTAAAATATTTTTGGGGCAAGAATTCTGTTAGATACATTGGCGTGAAGGAGTGTCGAGGTGGAAATCCCAGAAAAAAATAGATCTAGATACGGGAAACAAATTTGCTTGCTTCGCATCTTATTGTGAACTCGTCTAATGTACTTTCTTAACTAAGCAAACTTCGAAACGCGATCTGGAAATATCAGCTCTTCTCTAAATTGTATTTCCCTGCCAATACAAAGGAGGACCCTCCAGAAACAATGCAGTGCATAAAAATAAGGTATTATTGCAAATTATTTTTTTTCAATATTATTCTATGGGGGAAAAACATTGAGAATTGGTCTGAAAATATATGCATCGGTAAATAATCCTAAAACCACGTAAGGGATTTGGAGAGGATTTCTTAAAAGACAAGATTACAAGCTGATGTAGAATTAGCACAAGACAGATGAATGTTTGGAAAATAAATCTGTAGCTGAAAGAAATCTAAATTGATGGATTGGTCAGTCCCCTGTGATACAAAATATCCTTGCACTGAGTGTGTGCGTGTCTTTAAACTGAATTCACACATGCAGGGTTTTGGAGTGTTGAACTATGAGCACTTAAGGAATATATGATAAGCTAAACACCACAGTCAAAAGTTCTGATAACAGAAGAGCTAATGTAAGTTCACAGCACCTCTGGGAAATTAGAATCACAAAATCAGATATTAAATTCCATGTGTGGGAAGGCTTTGCCATTGCAATGATGGCTTGATTTGAAAGATG